CCAGGCCAGAGCACTGTGCCACCTAGCTGACCCTAGGCCTGCAGCCTTCTTAAAAGCTCCCAGCACACTCCCCCATGTTGGGACCATAGATCTTCAGGATGTAACAGGCAGCCCAGGTGAGAGAGTTATTCCCATGGAGGACTTTCCACCTTCTCCTCAGTGATAAATTCTGTAAGGGCAAACCCACCAGCAGCCTGAGAAAGGTTTATTTAGTGCGCCTGTCTATGTTGGTTTTATAGCTGAACGCTGACTGCTTGGGACCTAAAGCCCTTTATGATTTATAAACCACCAGCTGACAAGGAATCTATAAATCCCATTTTACAGTAAGGTAGAAATTTTTTAAAATCCCTTTCAAATGTAGAGCTGTAAATATTGTCATTGTCTGCAGAAAAGCTTAAAATGAAAAAGCCCTGGGGGATTGAGAGGTCAGTGGTAAGCCACTCACAGCAACTAACAGGCAAGAGTTAAACTGTACCAGGTAATATTTTAATGTGTAAAAAAAAAAACCCTCCGTCCAGGAAAGTCCTCCAAGAATACCTTCTGGCCCACATGTTTCAAAAGGTCGCCCTTTTGAAGATGACAGTGAAGCTTTTATGGCTCTGCCGGAAGGAACACGTATGTGTCAGGAAGCTTTGCTGCTTGGGCCAAAGTTCTTGACGAGGTTGGGGGGGGAGAGGCCATTTCTGGCCCTGTGGAGCCCGTGCTGCAAATGATCCTCCCCACTAACCACCCACTGGAGATTCTCTGATATACTGCATTTTTTTTTTCAGCAAGTACTTAGGGGGAGACCTATACATTTTATGCTAAAAGTGAAAAATAGTTTTTTCTTTTCAAGGGAGTCCTAGAGTTTCAGGGCCCAGAGAGAAGAGGTCTTGGCGTGACAAATAGTGAAAACACCTTCTGCTTGGGAGGTGAGCTTGAATAAACATAAACCTGCTGCTACCTAGAAGTTTCCTTCTTGTCTGCCCAACTCAGTGTTGTCTGAAATATCTGGAAACTGGAAATGCTTTTTAGCCCGGAGTTGTTCTGGTGGAGGCTTTTGAAGAACAAAAATGATCCCGGCTTTTTATTATGATGTGATAGAAGGGTAATGTAGATCTATCTAGAGCTGAAGGAACCAGAGAGACCCCCACTTCCCCCCTACCTCCTTTCTTTTCTAACACTCTCACTTTACAGGGAGGAAACTCAGGTTAAGAAAAATGAAGTTATTTTGCCCAAAGGTAAGGAAGAGGCTAAAGGAATAATGCAGATTAAAAGGAGCAGAGCAAAAATTCAAACCTGGGTCCTCTGATTTCAAATTCAGCATTCTTTTCCACTGCCCCCTTTGTAGTTGAAGATTATATTACTGAAGATATGTGAGGGTTTTTTTCCCCTTTCTTTTTATTCCCAGCACTTAACACACTGTAAGGGCTTAATAAATGCTCAATGACTGACTGTAGATGGAAAAATGGTGGCCAAGTAGCAATGATATCTCTTCATAACTGATACTAATAATGTATCTTCAAATTGCAGAGCAAAAATGATCTATTACCTTCAAAATAAAATGTTGTGAGGATAGATTTGACATCTTATATTCCCATTTTGTTGAAGCTAAAGAAGAGTTGAGTTGATTTGCACGAAGCTGTCTTCAGACATCTGGGCTTTAGGATCCTGAGTCATTTTCTAAATTCATGCCTTAAGAAGAAGTGGCCATACTAACTGGGCAGTGGCCACTCATCATCCTAATGTAAAGCTCAATGTGGTTTTTCACTCATTTAATGTTTACCAAAGACTAGTAATATGAAAGGCATTATGTTAACTGCTGGAACTACCAAGACAAAATAGGAAACTGAGGCAAACAAGGTTAAGTGACTTGCTCAAGGTCACACAACTAGTAAATATCCGAGGTCGGATTTGAACTCGATCTTCCTGTTTCAGTTTCCTCATGTATAAAATGAACTAAACAAAGAAATGGCAAACCACTTTAGTATCTTTGCCAAGGAAACCCCAATGGAGTCATGAAGAGTTAGCCATGACTGAAACCACCTGAATCCCCAGCCAGCATTCTAACCAGTGAAAAGGCCTTCTAAAAGAAACCCATTCTTTTTACAAAGGAGGAAATTGGAGGTAACTTGCTGAAGATTACACGGGTAAGCAGTGAGGGAGGCAGGATTGGAACCCAGATCCTCTGGTGCCAAAGACAGTATTCTTTTCACTTTACCCACACTACTTATCACTGTTTGTTATGTGATTGCATACAACAATTCAGCCTCAGCTAAACCTTGAGGTTTTATCCTAAGCCTTGAAGGAAGATGACATTTATAGAAGAAGAGTGGAAGAAGGAAGGAGCCAGGGGGACAGCTTATACGAGATGTCAGGTTGGGGACAGCTAGGATTCCCATGTGGCTGGGATGGAGAGTGTGTGGGGTGAGTCATGTACAATAGGCAGGGAATTGGCAGATTGGAGTCACACTGTGAAAGACCTTACACGCCAGGCTGAAAATTTTGCGTTTTATCCTAGAGGCAATAAGGAGTCAGTGAAAGCTTGGCAAAGCAAAGTGATATAGTCACATCTGTTCTGGGAAGATAATTTGGTCAACTCTGTGCAGAATTGATCAGAGAAATGGGGGAGTGGAAGCCAGGAGACCAATGGAGAGATTATTGCAAAAGTCCAATGACTTCAGCCATATCCCCTTAGCCAGGTAATTCAAAAGGCTGTTGATGGTTCATAGATCACCTTTGGAGAACAATCATGACACACAGCAAGTATAAATCAGTGCATCAGCACCAATCTCAGACTCCCTGGGTCTACTCAACTGGCTTTGCCTTCCATTTTGGGAAGGGCAAAACAGGACAAAGGCCTGAACTTGGGAGGCAGCCATGGCAATGTAGAGGAGGGAGCAGATATAAGAGATACAGAGAGAACTGTGATACCATCCCTGTCAAAGAGGAAACACAATAAGGCTGGGAGATGACATGTAGACATGTACCTCTAATGACAGGCAGTGTGTGATCAAGAATGCCACCAATCCCAACAAATACCTCTGTTGATTCACATAAAGAAAAGAGCTCTTTGATGTGCAGCAAAACCACCAGGAGTGGCTCAGATTCCCCTTTCTCTCTCTTTTATACCGCTCCCAGACAAGGTTACCGTAAAGAGCTTCTGTTTGGCAGGAGATGTAGGGGAGGATCATCAGAAAACCATGGCTCTTTAGCGTTAGAGAAACTCGACCCAGCAGAGCTCACAATAAGCAAGGCAGCCGAGGAGGAGTGAGCAGAGGAAGCACAAAAGGTCAGAGAGCTGAAAACAGACACACACAGAGACCCAGATCTTCATAAACAAGAGGCTTATTTTTTCAGGCTGTTTGAAAAAAAAAAAGCAGGGTGGGAAGAGGGAGGTATTAGAAGGAATAGTTTTGCAATAAAGAGATACTTGGTGGATCCAAAACTTAGTCATGTGGCCAGGGTTCTAAATGGAGTAAAGGAAAAAAAAAAGTGATTGAAATCTCTGGAAAGCCCTACACACCAAAGCAGCGCCTCCAGCAACTGCATATAAGCTAATGACATTTGCCTCTTATCTTGTGCAGGGGCTCAGCCATGCTGACCATCCATCATAGGAAAACAGAAAAAAAAACAAAACATTCACTTCATGAAAACATCTTCCTATTAATGGGGTATATCTCATACTAAAGTGGTTTGCCATTTCTTTGTCCAGTTCATTTTATAGATGAGGAAACTGAAACAGGAAGACCAAGCTCAAATCCAGCCTCAGATATTTACTGTCTTCCCTTCTTCAGTAGAATCTCCTGATGCAGGCATTTAGGCCAAAAGGCCCTGCCTGATAGAACTCACAGAAGTTTACTTTAGAAAATGGCAAATGTTAATTTCTAAAGAAACCTGGCTCCCTCCTGAACAAAGACTGAAACTCTTGAGTGGTGTTTTCTCTTTTATATGGTGGGCACTTTATAAATGTTTGTTGTATTGGATTTACTCAGAGATCAATTTCTGTCTATTGAATCACATTTGAAATTAAAATTCTATTGGAAAATTTGAAGATACATTCCTATGATAAACTACTTTGTCCCTCAGATGTAATATAAATTGTATTACAAGTGCAGCAAATATTTCAATCATTTAATTGAAGAGGAAGTTATAATTTCCTGGAGAAATAGTAATAAAAAATACCTGATACTAGTCACAAAGTGTAAATGCTGAACTAAAACTTGGAAGTTTTGCCACAAATATGCTCCCTTGAGGCAGGGGTTGTTAATGAAAGGTAGATGAACTTTTTTTTTTTAATTCGGATAATTATTTCAATATAATTGAATTCCTTTGTAATCCTTTGAATTTATTTTGTTCATTTAAAAAAGAATATTCTGAAAAGGGGTCCAAAGGCTTTGCCAGACTGTTTAAAGTTTCCGTGATCCCAAAAAGGTTAGGAACCCCTATACTGAGGATAAATCCATCAAATAGACATGTACCCTAGTGCTGTTTAACCCTTTAAATTCTGTCTCACCTGACCTGTCCTTTCTATTGCATGCAGGAGCTCAGATACAAACCTCCTGCTGCAAAGGGGCAAAGACATTAGCCACCCATGCCTGGGCTAGGACTCCATTAAGCACAAGGTGAAGAAGCACTAACCCTGGCTACTCTTGCCGTGCTTGCATATCCTCAGCTCCCATACTCAAGGAAATCCTTAAGGTATAAAAGCAAAAATTTCCTTATGACCACAAGGGTGAGTTGTGGGGCTCCTATTAAGAATTAAGTGGTAAAATCCCTGCTCTAGAAACTTGTAAGGAGAACAGAGGATATCCTTCATGAAGGAATGAAGACAGGAGTGGGAATTCCCCATTGACTTACAGGGAGAGGTTTTTCCCTTCAACCCCACTGAGGGTTTGGCTATACCACGAGGGGGTGCTTTGCGAACCTGTGGTCTTGTCTGTCTTTTAGAAGCTATACATTAAAAACCTTCAGTTAGAAAATAGTTGTTTTAGTGCTTGGTTCCCCTAGAAATGTAGTGTCTAGCGTGGGATGGAGTATATTTCCTCATATGAGGGAGGAGAAAGGCAGTCACAACTGTTGTCTTCCAGCTGTATCTCCTCTAGTTGTTCAGCATCAGTAGTTGACCTAAAAGTGTGAGCAGAAAACAGTCAAATTCAGAGTTCATGATACATTACTCTACCCTGAAACTTTCCTCAGATGCACATGAGCCCATAGACTCTGTCCATCCTAGCTGGAGGGGCAGCATTCCCAAGCTCCCATGTTTCTCTGGGCACCAGGCACCATACCTGTTATCATTTCTGCGATCCAAGTCCATATAGGAAGGGTAGAGCTCATCGTCAGTAAATGCAGCATTATCATGAGGATAGATGGTACAATACTGAGGGGGGCTTGGCACAGGCCCCGTTGGCCCTCCTGGGTTGGCAACACCAAAAGGATTCACAAACGGGGGCAGATAAGTGGCATTTACCCCGACGGTGTCCTGAGATGCGTAAGAAGGAATATACTGCACCACAGTTGCCCCATGGAATGTTATAGGTTGGTTGATCCCAGTGAAAACAAAAGATTGTCCACTCAGAGTCTGGTCTGTGTCCAGCGTTCTTTCCTCACTTTCTTTGCAAGACTGACAAGAGAGCATTTTAAACTTGCACACGGCGATCAGGATAAATGTCACCCCAACTGAGAGTAGAATCGGCCCAAGAAGCTGTGTCCACTCAAAGTGAGAGACGCCTTGGTACTTGATCCAGCCCATCACTGTGAATGTGATCCCTACCAGTCCCAGAAAGATACCTGAGAACAGTAAAGTGGCTCCTGCCTTATCATCATCAGACACCTGAATGTCGGCTGTGCTGGGCGTATAAGGAGTGACCGAAAATACATTGAGAGGGAAGTCTTCCACAAGGTTGGTGTTCTGCTGCATTACTCAGGATAGAATCCTTTCCTGATCAAGAAAAAAGGGAACTCATAAGAGAGCCTCAGTGGCATAATAACAAGTCACAGGTTCAGATTAGTTATGTAAGAACTTTGTGCTCCCGTGGTTAACAGAGTAGAACACACAACCAGGTTGACTTTGTTTGGAAGAATAAAGGTCTGGGAAGTGAAGCCTGAAACTTTACCTTGCCTCATGATTTTTTCTTGCACCACCATTGGCTTATGAATTTTGTATGATTATTTTGTGACAATTTCCCCATTACTTTGTTCCATTAGAGTACATATACGAATCAGCCAATACCTTTGAGCCTCTTACCAGTATCTTTGGGACCCCTGGGTATTAACTATATATCTAGCCAGCAGAACAGATACTCTCTACAAGGTCAAAGATTAGAATACACAGAAACATTTTTTGTGAAGTTTCTTTTTTTTTAATTCTTCAACTATCCTCAGTAATAACAATACTTAGATACTCAGGTTTTAATTACAGGAATCACGTGACTCTGTGATTTTCATATTTTCTGAGAAGGACCGTTGGTATTTAGGGAGTATAACAACTGAGTGAAAGAGTAGAAGTAATAGAAAACCTTTAAGGAATATTTTATATTTTTCTGGGGCTAGAAAAGTGCTGGGTGGAATATGATGTCAGAGATGATATCTAACAGCATCATGAAAAAATGTCACTTCCTCTTTGGCAAAAGGACTGGTCTCCATGGATAAAAGCAAACAGGTACACTACCATTCTCTACTTTGCACTCAGACCAAATTTAAAAAAGAGGCTTGGTCTTCATGGCACTTTCATAAATATTCTCCAAATTAGGGAAGCCAATCTCCTCCTTTTTTGCTTTCCAAGACAAGCTTTTGCGCTCTAAGTATGTCATGAGCCTCCTTAGGTCTTCTCATAGTTCTGGGACCCCTTACAACTTTCCAGGTTCAGAGAACTGCAGCCCCAAGCCCTCACCAATAACTGTGGAAGATCATGGCAGTGAGATGATTTGTGAAATCAAGGTGAGAAAAACAGAGACAGATAAAATATGGTCTAAGTATGTGAGTTTTATGTGTTTATGTATGTGTGTGTGTGTGTGTGTGTGTGTGTGTATGTGAGAGAGAGAGAGAGAGAGAGAGAGAGAGAGAGAGAGAGAGAGTATTAATTAAAAAACAACCCAAGGTAAAGAGTAAAGATTGTATCAGGTCACAAAAATGCCTCAATTAATCCCTCTGTCTCCTTAACACAGGGGAGGAGGAATATACAGAGCACTCATGGTTAAATATTAAGAGATCAGCACCTGGAGCAATTCCTACTTCACCTTTTTCCTGTTAGTCTTGACATAGCCACAGTGAGCATTGACGTCTTAGTATTCAGGGCTTCTGACTGCCTGGCGCAGATCTGCACCTTCCAGTATATCTCCTGAGTTTCTGTCACCTGTTATCATTTCTGTGATCCATGTCCATTCAGGAAGTGATGGCAACATCACCGCCATGCTGGAATGTTCATTGCACCTTGGGCTGTGCCCTCAGATGGTATTTCTTCCCCTCTTTGTGTATGGAATGTTACCTCTCAGCTATTGCTCCCCACATCCCACTAAGCCCTACCAAACATTCATAAGCCTTTTTTAAAATTCCCTGCACTGGGGCAGAGTAAAATCAGTGACTTGCTTGAGCTCTCCCCCAAACCCCTCCAAATACCTGTAAAAAATGGTTTTAAAGAAATTCTAGAGCAGCAGAACCCACAAAAAGACAGAGTGAAACAAATTTCCAGCCCAAAACAACCTGGATAGTTGATTAGAAACATCTATCATGCTGGGCTGGGTGAGAAACGTAGTTCAGTCTGGGCACGCAGGCAAAATAGGCCTCAGCCAACCTGGAATAGGCATCAGGGGACTGAATCATGAGCAGCTGTGGCAGTTTCCAGACTTCTCAACCCACAAATGCCAAAGACAATTTAAAAGATCAGTAGGAAAAGTCTGTGACCACGGTGAGAGAGAAGCTCGGTCCCAGCCCCAGTCCTGGAAGGGCAGAAGTTGCTTCCAGAGCTTCTGGCCCACAGATTGAGGGGGAATCAAGTGGCTGATCAGAGGGGGATTGCAGGGATCTCTTTGCCAGTGCTGAGGCAGGAATCTCTTGCTTTGCCCATGCTTGGATCTGGGTCAGAGTTCTGAGTGGTGGTCCTGGGTTGAGGAGCAGTGCTGGCATGATGGAGCTTGTAGTGGCTGTGGAGAGGAAATCCTCCTCACAGTTCCAAGACAGAAAAGAGTGCTTGTGATCACTCATAGACCAGAGCACAGGCCAGGAAAGAAGTAAACACCTCGCCCCTTATCATACCACCTTGGAAGAACTGAAAACTTACAGGTCCCTAGAAGTATCTCTGAAAACAGCTGCACAAACCTCCTGAAGCTTGGGACAGTGCATTCTCCACACTAGAAGCAGACCCCTACCTTAACAAAGAGTTTAAAACTCAAGGAATTGATTGAGATCATGAGCAAACTGCACAAAAAAAAAGTCAGACCACAGAATCTTTCTCTGGTAACAAAGAAGATAAAAACATACAACCAGAAGAAGACAACAAAGTCAAAGCTCCTATATCCAAAGCCTCCAAGAAAAACATGAACCAGTCCCAGGCCGTGGAAGAGCTCAAAAAGAATTTTGATAAGCAAGTAAGAGAAGTAGAGGAAAAACTGGGAAGAGAAATGAGAGTTTTGCAAGAAAATCATGAAAAATTAGTCAACAGCTTGCTAAAGGAGGCCCAAAAAAATACTGAAGAAAATAATACCTTAAAAAATAGCCTAACCCAAATGGCAAAAAAGGCCCAAAAAGCCAATGAGGAGAATAATGCTTTAAAAAGCAGAATTGGCCAAATGGAAAAGGAAGTCCAAAAGCTCACTGAAGAAAAAACTTCCTTAAAAATTAGAATGGAGTGATTGGAAACTAGTGACTTTATGAGAAATCAAGACATTGTAAAACAAAGCCAAAAGAATGAAAACATGGAAGATAATTTCTCATTGGAAAAACAACTGACCTGGAAAATAGATCCAGGAGAGATCATTTAAAAATTATTGGACTATCTGAAAGCCATGATCAAAAAAAGAGCATCCCCAAAGGATAACTCCTAGGAATATTGTAGCCAAATTCCAGAGTTCCTAGGTCATGGAGAAAATATTGCAAGCAGCCAGAAAGAAACAATCCAAATATTGTGGAAACACAATCAGGATAACACAGGATTTAGCAGCTTCTACATTAAGAGACCACAGGGCTTGGAATATGATATTCCAGAGGGCAAAGGAGATAGGATTATAGCCAAGAATCACCTAACCAGCAAAACTGAGTATAATCCTTCAGAGAAAAAAATGGACATTCAGTGAAATAGATGACTTTTAAGCATTCTTGATGAAAAGACCAGAGCTGAATAGAATATTTGACTTTCAAATAAAATTCCCTGCACTGGAAGTGTCCCTTGGCAATCACAATAAAACAATGTGAGATAGAAGCTCATGCACAACTTTCTGGGAAATGTAGTCCAAAGAGTTTCCTCAATAAATCTTTTTTGGCAAAGTATTGTGAGTATATTGAGTTTGTCAATAGATATATTCCTGTACACTGGGAAGATTTCTTTATTTTATGAAGTTAATTAACCTTTTTTTCATCTGTTAAATGAGATATAAGATCCCCTTTTTTCAGGTTGTACATAATTTCCAAAGTAAAGTCTTTCCAATTCCTATTGAGTCAGCAGCTTACCCCTCCAAAGAATTCCAGGAGGCTTTTCAACACTATTTGTCCAATTAGCTTTCTCCTTAAAATCCTTCCCCTTACCTTTGGAGGACTGAGGTTCCATCCAATTCTGAGAATCTGTGATTTGGTAACTAGCTCACAGTCATACAAGGAAAAATGAGCGAGAATGAAACCCAGTCTTTCACAACAATGAGGCTGCCTGCTTTCTGCAGGCAAGAGTAGAAAGCTTTTTGGGGTGATTCAGTTGCATCCTAAGGCAAACCTCCAAGGGGTTTGCAGTTCAGTATGATGGGCTTTGTGCTGTGACCTCTTCAGCTGGAAGGATGTTGAGGAGTAGGGAAGAATGACAGAGGGTAAAGAAAGCAAATTCATACCTTTTCTTTTATAATGAAAAATCCTCCACACCCCTCAAGATACCTCTACCTGGGTGGCAGTGGCTATCAAAAATGTCTGCATCAGGAGCCAAGGACATACCAGACTCATGGCTCTACAAGGAACTCAGCAAAGAAACCTCACCATTCCTAGGCGGAGCTTTTTGAGCTCCACATAAATGGGAGAAAGGGATTTCTAGAAACCAGGATCTGTGTTGTCTAAGTTTCAACCCACTTTCCCTAGAGGGAGAAAGTGAGCAGACATTTTTTAAGGATGTTTTGTACCAGTTTTTTTCTTGTATCACCATAGTAAATTGTTGTTGTTATTGTTGTTCATTTGTTTCTGACTCTTTATGATCCTATTTGGGGTTTTCTTGGAAAAGATATTGGAATCATTTGCCATTTCCTTTTCCAACTCATTTTACAGATGAAGAAACTGAGGCAAACAAGGTGAAGTGACTTGCAATGGGTCACACAGTCAATAAGTGTCTGAGGCCAGATTTGAACTCAGAAAGATGAGTCTTTCTGACTTCAGGCCTGGCACTCTATTCACTGTGCCATCTAGCTGCCTTACCGTAGTGAACAACCCTCACTTAGGGTTGACTGGCTAAACTGATTCTCGACCGACATCTTTAGGGGAAATAAATCAGTGAGGGCTGAAATTTATGTCATTAGAGAATCATCTTTGACTTCTCAAGAGTACCCTGAGAAGGAGCTGCAGCCATACTCTGGGGATCAGCCTCATCAGGGGGAGTGAGAGGTGGGAAAAGGATCCTCAGAGCTTTCATGGACTACAGATATTGTGTCCTTCCTTCTTGTGTAACCAAGTTACCTACGTCTGCTACTTTTTCTGGATAAACTCAAATAGAAATGGGGCCACTGCCCACACATA